TTTTTTTGGCAATAGAAACAAATTATATCCCCAATTGTAAAAAAAAAAAATTATCCATTTAATCGACAATTTCCATGTAAAATAAAGCCAAACGAACGTCAAAAAATTCCAATTTTTTTTTTTTTTTGCAATCCTAACAAATGATATCCCAAATTGTAAGAAATTATATAACTTTCATTGACAATTTCATGAAAAACAAAATCAAATGAATACCAAAAGATAGAAAATTTCAACATTTTTCAAATGAAAAATTATACCAATCAAACACAATTAATTAACTATTTTCAGTAAAACAAATTTTAGGCAATTCAATTTCCTGTGATTCGTTTTCTTTTCACTCAAATTTCATCTTTAAATCAAACGGACCCTAATTTATTTGACTCCAAAAATTCGAATACTTAATCCATATTTCATATTTAATTAACGCCCTTTTATTCATTTATAATTTGCCTCAATCGTGTATGACATCTTCCACTTGCCCAAAAAAGATATGCTATTAAGAGTGTGGTGTCTGATTCGGTCCGATTCTTTCAAGAACCGAATCGAGTACCAATGAAAATCTTAAAAATAAAACCATTGGTTCCATATCTAATTATAGAACCGAATCGGAACCGAATCAATCGGTTCTAATTCGGTCATGTCCAGTTCTTTATATTGAAAAAGAAATATAAAATTATTTATCAAATTGAAAATAGACAAAAATATAATATGAAACAACTTATCATTCTTGTAATTTAACAATAGAAAAAATCTATAAAATTAGGTGACAAACCAAAATTCACTCCAAAATTTAAGATCAACTTATAAAGACGAAAAATGATAAATTATTAAACACAACATAAACAATAATTTCGATCAAAAATTAATTCTTAAAAAAATTCATATAACAATAGACTGATTATTTTTTGTAATTCTTAAGGATCGTGATTCTTGATGGCCGATCACTTTGAAAACAATAATAATTTTGAATTCGTATGAAATATTGAACTAAAAATATTTTTTCTATTTTGTTGCATTA